AGGAGCAGATGAGATGCCTGCTTCAAATGAATGAACTCCCCCTGCTAGGCCAGAACAGGCCAGGTGGCTGTATCATTATGCTGACAGACTGAATGTATTAGATGCTCTCTCTTGACCCACATACTCTTAATAAAAGGTTTTATTTCATTCCTCTTCACACACAGGCTTCTGTTGCAGTCTCCCTTGAGAGACTTCTGCTTACCTTCTGGAGCCTGGAAAATATTCCCCTGCTCTTTGCACACTGATCTGCTCTGGTGGACCTGTGGCCCTCATTAAGATGCTCTGTCCTGTAATTCTTCCCTGAATGCCTGCTTTCAAATCAAGCCAAAAAGGGAAGCGAATTCTGATTCCATCAGAGTTTCTGACACGTTACATTAACCAAGCAGGACACGTGCAGAATATGTATGTTTTGGAAAGAAAGAGATGCTAGTATTAGTAGGGTAACACTGCTTTCTACTCGGGACTTGTATAAACAGAAACAAGACTGAAAAGGGAAGCATTTTGCCATTTAATGCCCAAGCAGGATAAACTGCATTTTTTTCACTTGCTTAGGCACTGTCATTGCAAGAGGGAGCCTTCATACTGCTTTTCAGAAAAGGACTTCAGAGCACTCAGCAAATACAGATTTGCTGTCACCATGTCACATAAATTCACTCTGGACTAGAAGGCAGCCTTTTCTAAGAAGGAATGGCATTACTAGTCTGGTAATAACATCTTCACCATGGTATGGTGTCTTTTCCTCCAGTGGTGCATCTGCTATTTGCATTTCCAAGTAGTTATGCTGCATGCAGGGAGAAGACCAGAGTGACCTGAGAGTCAGTCCAGGGTATTGTAGCAACAGGTGAATATAGTTTGAATCTTTTTTCCAGAAAATCCCTTTTTTTTTGCTACTGTAATTAAAAAAAAAAAACAATCTCAGTCTTTTCATGCTCAAGAAACAGAGGGAAAGTCCATACTGGATCTGATGATCCTTGGCAATGATTCACAGGTGGAAATTTCCCTTTGTTCCTCTTCAATGATAGATTTTTATTCCATATTGTGAGACTGTATAAAGTAGGCAATTTTACTTCACAGAACAACAGTACTATTTGTGTAACTATATAACCCATAGTCCTCAAGCAGCAACATGTGCTTCTGTATTACCTTGCTTGTTGCTGTAAGAGAGTTAGCTTTGTGTTTTGAAAAAAAAAATTAAAGCACAACTTAGCCAGCCTTTTATGAAAAGCCACAGTGGTCAACTAAAGCCAAAAGTGAGCAGAAAAAGAGGAACTGGTTGTCTCCCTCTGACTGAGCTAGTGCCAGCCCTGCACATCCCTGACATGATTTCAGAAAAGTCTAAAAGACCAGCAGGCACGAACCTCATGCCTATGGACCTGCTGTATTTATTCATTCAGGACAGGGACAATACAGATCTGAATACTGTCACTTCAGATCCTCAACAGAAAATATATTTGTGACATGCTGTGAGCATGACAGCTGCATGTCACAACTCAGGTAATAAGCCTTTAACATAACCATGAAGCACAGCTAACTCTCCTCATAGTTTGTGCCCCTCTTCTTGACTATCATCAGAATTTTACACATAATGCAAAGCAAAAGCAGCAGTTTTGTACCACACAAGTGATATTGCACTTGTTCCAGACTGAGTCCAGCAAAACACTTGCCTGGTATATTGCTTTAAATATGTTTGTGTCCTAGTGAAGGGAACTACTTGTACTGAAGTTTGAGGCAGCAGGAGAGTGCTTTGCTTTCTCATTCCTCACACAGAACACCCACCAAAGTCATTAGGTGATACAAGTGAAGGGCTAATTGCAGTGCTTCAGTTTACAGCAATCCCCTGTGAGATGCAGTGTGTGCCTTTAAAAGTATTGTTCCTTGCACTGAAGTATTTACCACAGTACTCATACATCAAGTGGGAAATAATGCTACTATGGAGGCAATAATGCAACTAGCGTGGGTGGTAACCAGCCAATTTTTCTTACACCTACAGCAGATTTTGTTCCAGAAGATCTTATTAATGCTATTATGGGAATTATGAAATTGTTATAATGGGAACTGCTAGCCAATATTGTGTACTTGAAAACTTAAAATAGCAATGACTGCTCTAAATGTTCACTACATCTGCTTTTCCTCTTCAATTCAGCCTGCTGTCTCTCTGTGGGCTCTCTAGTTTAATGCCTGTTCATCCCTTCGTGTTAACAGAAAAACACAAACTACTGGATATGGGAGAGTATGTGTGTACCAGCAAGATCATTAGTCTGAATAAATGCAGCAGCAGAGTTGCATGAGAAATGCCACAGTTAGTGGTAAGCACAAACTACAGCTTTGGGTGTAAAATACTGTAATTACAAGGGATGGAGAAAGCTCCACTGTTTTTATCCCCACAGAAATCGATAGTGGTGCAGACTTGTGCTCTTTGCCGGAGCAGGGGCAGTCTGATGAAAGAGCTTATTGATTTATCCAACTGATGCTACTGAAGTGAATAATAGACTGGAAGAGAAAGGGCTTGTAAATGAGACTCATTCAATCCAGCATTTTCCAGGATATCTCTTACACACAGCTATATAGAGATACATATTTACAAGTGAGTTTTTGTCAGAGCAACAGGCTAGCGACTCTTGGCAGAGTGTCTGCCTAATAATCCTTTGACCTCAACTACACCCATGGTGTCAAGCTTCAAGCTCTCACTAAAAACTGGCAGGAAGGAGGCAGCACCAGGGCACCTAGGAATAAGATTTGACTATGGTGCAGGTAAGCAGCTGGCCATCAGACCTCCCGGCTGGCTGTGGTCATCGAGAAAAGGCGAAGCTTCCTCCATGCCACATGTGCCGCTGGAAGAAACTGTTGTGAATCCACAGGTGCCCAGGCTAAGAAAATTGTGAGTTCCAGGACAGACCCCCAAAGCCTCAGGTAATGTGGAAAGAGGCATGTTGTTTTAGGAATGAAAGGAATGCTGTGTGTCTTCCTGGCTCAGCAGGAAGATTTTCTAAGAATCTAAATCCACACAGGCAAAAATGTAAGTGTTCAGATTGATTTCGCATAAACTAAGAAAGATAAATAAATAAAAAGAGAGGGAAGGAGAGAGAGAGAGAGCAGCAGGCACACTGCCACAAAGTACAGCAGATCAATCTTCTCAGCAGTGATGGATCAGGGAGCAGGACTGGAAGTTTTACAGGTATATGAAACCCTGTGAGTATAAAGACACCGTTAAAACACTGCCATTAAATTCCAACACTGAAGGATTATCACGGCCCCTGGAGCTAAGCAGGTCATTATGTGACTGCATATTTTTCATTACCATTTTTTATATACATATATATGAAGCAGAATAGGATTCACAACAGTTTCACCCTCTCTCCTACTGAAAGACCTCTGCTTTATACTCAGCATCCACTTTCACAAATAAAATGCAATATACCATCAACAGATAAATGAGATCCCTACAGGGCTTTTATTCTGCTGTACTATTATATCTACTTTTCCACAAGATTTCTGCTTAAATGGCTCTCTTTATGTGCACACACAAAGATGACATACACCTGCTAAATATAATCTAATAGTGAAGAGCTCTTCTGTGTGGGGAAATGCATCTTTTCCTCCTAATTTGCCATAATGACTTATTAACTCTACTGGAACTAGGGGTGCATTAGCTTCCCTACAATAAAAGACACCAAAGTGTTGTATAGTAAGACATAGCTGGATTTTTTCCCCTATACTTAGAAATAAAAAGGAGACGAGTTCTGAATGTTACCTTTCCAATTTCACCATAAAAACAAGTGTTTTGAGGGATTGCAGCTTTATAGACCATGGACATTGACTAACAGCTTTTAACATGATGGAAATGCTTGTGTGAGCCACATCGAGGGAGATGTTTGTAAATCTGTGAAACCTCAAAGTAAATGGTCATGCTGTGCTATAGGGTAGCTCAGAGACCACTATCAACATAGTAGCTATCCTATATAGCACTTATTCAAAGAGCAGACCAATTTATTAGCTGGTAGTGTCATTTTCTGTCATCATGAGTATTTCAGTCAAAAGTAACCAGCCTCAGAGAATAAGAATTCTTTACTTGTTTTTTTCCTGTCTTTTTAATGATAGAACTCAAAGCATTTTATGATCTGGACACAGAGGTATCGGATGGGTACAGCCACAACTCTTTGGACAACAGAGAGCTGAGGCTTGACAGAGAAGTACTGCAGAGAGATGGGATGCAGGAATAGGAAAGAGCTGTATGTGAGGATTCTGGCTCAGGTTATTGTACTAATGAAACATGAAAGGGAGTTTTGATGCACCAGCAGAGCAGAGAAGACCTAATTTTTGAGAAGGGATGAAATGTAGAGCTGAATAATTGTTCATCAGTGTATATCAGAATTACACTCAAAACCTTCTTTTCTTTGCTTCTCTATTAGTCAGAAAGGCAGGACCACTGCGTGAATAGGCACAGGTGGAATAGACTTCAATGGTAAAGCTGATCTTCCTGAGGCTGCAGCATGCTGGCAACCAGATAGGAAGTTTGCATCAGCACTGCATTGATGCAGTGTACCTCTTTCTACCACAGGTCACCCAAAATTGAAAAAGAAGCATAACTATTATAAATAGAAATGTGTGCACTCACCATTCCTGACAGCAAGAAGCCAGAAGCCAATCTGCATGGCCAAATTTATTCTTTTGGAAATGCTGGTCTTGCTCTAAATGCTCTATTTTTCCATTTGCAGTGCTGTAAGAGCCACTGCCAAGCTTCTCTAGACAGATGCTGAGGCAATATAGAGAGGAGGGTTGTTTGGTGGGGAGGGCAGGCAGTAGAAGGCTCTGTTATGACTCTTTCTAATTCATCACTGTTTCATAGTCCAGGCAAGAGGAGTGGGGTGTCCAGGCCAGTTGAAAACTGGTCCCTAACTCATTTCTCCTACAAATGGTTCTGTGAGTTTAGGTCATTGATGCTGATCTGCAGTTATTTCGGGGCTTGCCACATACACCCCAGACCTGGAGAGCGCACTCACCCTGCATGCAGAGCCCATCCGTGCAGTTCTTGGACTGCAGCACCAGCCCCTCGCAGTCCTTCCCCCCGTTCTTGGGAGCTGGCGCCGTGCACTCTCTGCGGCGCCAGTGGGTGCACTCCGTGCCACAGGTGGACCACTTGCTCCAGGGTGTCCACTTGCCATCCACTGAGACAAGGAGAGGACACAACTTGTTAGGGATAAACAAAAGTGAGACCAAGACAGAGCAATGCACGTGTCAGCACAAGCCAGTCTGCAGCTCCCAGCCCTTCCTGGCAAGGCAGAAGGATCATCAACCTCCTCTTCTACTTCTGGCCTGTAAATGCACATTGACCCCCACATCTTCTTTCTCTCTGCCCTGGCCACATTTCTGATCTTTTCTCCCCTTTATATAAACTTCTAACCAATTTATCTGTGCTCAAAATGTACAAGCCACAAGCCAGGAATCGTGATTACTTTTGTGGTGGGGGGTATGGCATTTTTAACACAGAGGTTAGATTTTTCCAGAAATTCTTCTTTATTAGGAAGATATTTAATGTTAAGTAGTCTCTATTAAAAGAAATCTCTAGAGACACCAATTTATTCCACATGAGCAGAATCAGGAATGTGTTTAGCACCTTTCAAAATCCTGCAAATTATTTTCAAAACAGCTGGAGAATAATATATAAACTTGTTCCAGTGAGAAAGCTGGATTATCAAACTTCACAAGCTGAAGATGGCCTTATTGCCATCAGTTTGAGCAGGTCAGTAGGAGAGCGCTGGACAATAGGACAAATGTCAGAATTTTATCAAGTCACCAACTACATTGCATATCCTCAAACAATCTTGTATTTTTCAGAAGTTTATATTTAAATAACTTCCAAAAGTATGGATACACATCTCTTTCCAATAAAAATGCCTTTGTATTTGACGATTGTGTATGTCAGGTAAACATCTGCCTCAAATTTAATATCCACATCCCAGATGCTTTACTTGCTGAGACAGCTGGACTGAACAGACATTGCAAATATATTTACATCACAGTTGCTTTCTATATTCAAGTCCCAATTCTTTTCCAGAGCTTTCAACCTTTATCTCCTACATTTTGAAGCTCTGAATGCTCCCCAAATCTCCTGAATTGTAAGAGCTGAGACCACAGTGCAAGCAGTTTGCGAAAGAAGGGCTGGGACACGTGCTGCTTGATATGATGTGCTCACTATTTTATCTACTTATGCACCAGAACTGAATATTAATTCCCTGAGATGCTGGATTTATTAATAATGAAAAGGAAGCTTTTGCAACTATAGTGTTCTCCTGAAATGACTGATGACAGACAAAGTGTTTCTGTGTGCTGTTCATACTGAACCTGGGCACAGAGTGGTGCAAGCTATTTTCTGGACGCTCTGGCCCTCGCAGAAGGCGCCGCCGTTGAGCGGGGCAGGGTTGGTGCAGGTCCTGGTGCGCTTCTGGAAGCCTCTCCCGCAGCGGCTGTTACACACCGACCACTCTGTCCAGGTGGACCAGCCTCCGTTCACTGCAAAGCAGGAGAAAAAAACATGGTCACACAAACAGCCCAGCCTGGGCAGTCCCAGGGCGCTTCTGGCTCTGTCGTGCAGCTTCAAACAGTGGCCACAGGACATGGCACAAGAAACAACACTGACCAGGTACAAACCCATGCCTCCAACACACCAAGTGTACAGCAGAAGTCATTGTACAAGCTAAAGAAACGCTGCTGCTGAATGAAAAATATCACTTGATGACTATTAGGGTTGGCAGGTGACCTGCCTTATCCTGAAAACCAACCTGACCCAGCCTTAAGTGCCTGGTGGAGTGTGTATGACCAAAATCCCTGCAGGTTCAGAGAGCTCTGGCAGCCAGAAACTCATGCTCTGAAAAGGGCACTGTTTTCCAGAGTGAGATAACCTGTGCTACCACTCATGCTCAGATGCACCCATCACCTATGCATGCTCAGAGACCCCCATGCTTTGATTAGATATCAAGAATTTTCTTGCTTTCAAGAAGGTGACTTCAGATGTCAGGACAACTTCACTCACCACTCTGTGGACATAGCTGCTGAATATATTAATGTCCCAGCACTTCCCTAAGGTGTTCTAAATGAGCTAACAATAAATGCATTTCTTTCTGTTGGACTTTGGGAAGACATTTATCTCTGGTAAGATATTTATGCTTACTCTCCTTTTCATCCATCACAGTTTCTGGGATAGATGGAGGAATGAAGAAGGAGTTGTGCTGCTCTACATAATAATGTCATTGTAAGGTATGGGTAATAACATATTAACTGCTTGGATTCCCTAAACCCAAATGTTTGTGATATGACACAACCCTGAAGCAGCTCTAGCAACAAAACCCATAAAATCGCCTGCTCCCGACACATGTCGCTTGAATACACTTTTGAAAAAAAATTCTTTATATGTATGAGGAAGGGTTGTAGTACGCCTACATCTTTATGTTTCTGCATTCATCTCAGTTACAAAACATGGTGCTCTTGCATGGTCCATCCCTCAATACCAAAAGCATGCTAATCAACTCAATTCAGTCAGTTTTCTATAAAAACTGAAGTAAAAAGCCCTCATTGTAACTTCACAGAAGCAACTGCTTACAATTAAATCTAACTGCTACCCTGAATATGAAATGAATATTAGGGATAATCATAGGGATTTTTTCCTACTTGTCTATCCTATAATTAGGCTGATTGTAAGAAACACCAGTTCAGTCAGCTGGCACATAATCAGAGCAGGTTTTGTTCTGGTGGATACCCCCACCTGGAATGCATTTGGGGAAATAATTCTGCAGAGGCAAAGGCTTGGACTGGTGAGGCAGAGCTGCAGTGCAACACAGGCTGGAAGAGACCCCAGGAGGGAATCCCATCCTTTCCCAGCCAAAGCATGGCCAGTCTCAGTCATATCAGGACTCTGGATGCTGACACAGAATAATGCTATCCCGTGCTTTATATTCCCCTGATGTTTAGTTTTAAGCTAAGCTGTGTTCCTACAAACTGCAGCCCCAGAATGCCTTGCTTCTTTGCTCTTGGTGTCAGGGTATGCTTTGGAAGTAGGCACCAAAAATAAGCATATTTAAAGAGCTACAAGAAGATGGTGGACTCTGATGAGCTCTGACACTCTTACCAGTCACTGGAAGCACACACTCTCTATCAGTTTCACTTTTATTTCAGAAAAGGGCCACTAAGAACATGAACTGTGTTGGTAATAAGCCATGCCTTAGACACTTCTGCTGGAGGATGTGCCCTGGTGGCTCCTTGCTGTTTGCAGCCAGTGTGTGTTACAGTCTCCTTCTCTCCAATGAGGCTGTTTGTGCAGGGGGCTCTTCCTCCTTTAACACCATTGCCTGTCACCAGTAAGAGAAGCCATCACACTCCTGAGGGATTTCAGCAGTGCCCCCTGACTGCAGCCCCCGTGTGTGGCTGCAAGTAACCAGGCAGCACAGGCAGCCCAGCCTGGGCACTGACTGCAGCCAGAGCTGCACAAGGGCATTGTGCATCCCCCTCCTGCCCCACCTCCTGCTCCGAGTGTGTGCCCATCCTCCTGCAGCAGTACAAGGCATCACCTACCATAGACTATGACAGTTGCTGTGGTGCTTTTCCTTTTGGCCACAATGTTTTTTGCAACACAGGTGTAATTGGCGGTGTCAGAAAGCCGGGCTTGCTTGATGATCAGGTTGTGATCAATGGTGATGTAAAAGTTTCGGTCTTCCACGGGGTCAATCACCTCTTCATTCTTCAGCCACTCCACCTTGGGGTTTCAAAGGGCCAGAGGGGAGGCAGTGAGTCAGCAACAAGTCACACCAATATGGACAGACACAGTATCTGTGATTGCGTTGCTCATCCCAGAAAACACTACAAGCCAAGGCACATGACAAAGGACTCATCTGATGAATGTCAAGAACTGAAACAAAACACCAGAGCAGAAAAACAGGAGAACACTCTTCATGCCTACCCTTTCCTTCAAGCCCCCTTTCATCCCACCCACCCACACAACAGCTGTCTTGCCTTGCCTTGAAAACATCAATGCATTTTCAAAGGCTGCCAGGTACAGTACAGGGAAAAGCTAATCTGTGCTTTCAGAGCTGGAAGCAAGACAAAAGGAAAGGGTGATATCTTAGGAGCATATCTGCAAATAGAAAATTCTCCTACAACATCAGAAGCCCTAAATCAGCACAGATCTCACCAATTGTTTTCCATATCTTGCCTAATCAGGCAGTTAGTAATGCAGTAACCTTATAGGTATCTGACCTGAGTCTAAAACCGTGAGTCTCTATGCCAGAGTGGGTAGCACTAACAAATCACAAACCCCAATATTTTTAAGTACACTTGCACTCACATACACACTATCTGGCTTCAAAGGGAATGAAATAAAATAGAGTCAGTTACCAAGGAAATAGGAAATCACAAGGACATCAGTGCTTATTTTTCCTCTTTATTTGTGTAAGCTATATTTTAATTTAATAAAGCATGATTTCCTTGGTTGCACAGAAAAATATTTTTTATATGGTGTTTTTAATCTAGACAATATTCTCTTTATTGCCTTCCTTAGAAAACACCCTGTTATATCCCAGCTGACTGCTGTGAGCCACTCTAATATAATTTGGCTGCAAATCTAGTAGCTCGTTTTCATTTGAACTGAGTGCTCTGAAGGACAGGACTGGGGCCCTGGATGGATCAAAGCTGGGCCTTCATATCACTGGATCACTTCAGCCTGTGCCCAGAATTTAATTAAAGGAGGAAAAAACATAACCACAATCAACCCACTGGACTTGTGAGGTGCTAGCTGCCAAGTTCTTCTCTCACAAACTCCACTTTTCTAAAGACATTTGAGGAACTACCCAAGCATTGACATACGCCAAAGTCACCTGAGACAGCTGTACAGACTGCTCCAAACCATGGTGAGAAAAAACAATAATTTCCCCTGGTGTTCAACACAGAGGGCTCAATTCACCCCTAGACAAAACCAGTCAATGCTGCAAGATCAGTGCTGGCAGATGTGGGCTTGGATTACAGGTGCCCACACCCACTCTCCACCTTTAGCCCTGCCTTAAGAAGCTCCAGCTCCCCTACTCCAGTTTGGGTGGATGCACTTCAGGTATGAGCTGCTTCCAAAGATTTACACCTTTAGTGGATGGGGAGCCACTGCTCCAAGGAAGGCTTGATTTAAACCTCTCTCTTTCACAGCACATCACCCTGGGATGTGGCAGCCTTACAGCTGTCGATACTGCGGAGCTTAAAGACAGTGGTGCAACAAGGGCTCTGGAAATGGATGCATGTGTCTGCAAGGAACAGGGGAGGAAGAAAAAGACATAAAACTTTGGAGGCTGTATTTCTGTCACCATGGAAGATACAAGCTCTTAGTCAATAATCTGTTTCTCCTTGTGACAGAATGACTAAACTTGTTTTTTCCAACTTTCTTGAATCCTAATAGGTTTCAGGTGTAATCAAGACAGACACATTCCTTTTCAGTCAATGGCAATATTTAACTCCTTCCTCACCTGCAGGCCGAGTCTGCATGAATTCTAGACTGAAAAACAATCCAGGAGCTTATCTCCATCAGTAGTGTGCTGCCATTTAACTCCTGCCTCTTACACAAAACCCATGTATTTTCTTTGGTTTTAATGTCACTATTTATTTCTGGGATGGTTATGCCAGGGCTGTAAATGATGCTACAGACACTGACAGAGCTGTGTACATCCCACTTTCAAATCTGCTCTTCCTCTGCTTTGCATACTGAGGACACCAGGACACCAGTAAGGACAGGACTACAGTCTACATGGTCTAGGGCTCAGTTTAAAATATTTCTGGTATGCCCATCCAAGAATATACTCTAGCAGCCTTTGGCACCCTTCCAGGCTCCATGCCCAAGCACATGGTTCTTTTTTCCACTATTCTGCAACATTTTCTCTCTCTACAAAAACACACATACATATTCAATCTGGGTCTCAAATGAGTAGACAAAATTGAAGCTGTAAGCATTGAATTCCCTATCATCCCTGCAAAACCACCAAAGATAATATGAAAAGAGGAGTTGCCAAAAAAAAAAAAAAAATTCCAAAACAAAGCAGCTCTGTATATTGCCTCTGGCTCTACACCAAACCTCTTAGGAAAAAGATCCTTTTCCACCTAATGTCTCAGAATTTGCAAACAGTAAAAGTTTGAAGAACAACAGGATATCTTTTTTTTTCTGCCAGTACATCATATGGTGTGTGCATGTCTAAATGCCACCTCTTTTACAAAGTATCTCTTAAATATATCTAATTTAGTCTTCTGGCATCCAGGGTTTATGGTGTCTGTTAATGTTGCAAACTCTAATGTCAAATCTGAAGGAAAGAACTGATGGATGATTTGACAAGCAGTGGGAGTCTCCTTTCACACATATTTTAGCCATCAGTAGAGCAACACAAAAAAGAGAACACCTTTCTAGTGGTTGTATTTTCTCCCTCAGTCCTTGTAGAACTGTGGACTAAGACTGTTCTTGGCACTTATTTTCAATTATTGTTAGACCCATTTTTTATGGTGCAGGTGACTGCAGTGCTCAGCACCTCCAAACCTCAGATTATTTTTTTTTTTTTGAGGTAACCAGAGTAGGTGGGAGTAGGGTTGTTCTGTCATATAAGTAGGAAGAGATCGGGTGTCAAATACAGAAGAGAAGCAAGCAGAATGAGACAGTTTGATTTATGAGTGACAGGTATGCAAACTGTTATCACAGAAGTTAAAAGCAATGATCTCTTTTGATACCATGTCATTCCCCAAGGTGCAGCACCCTTGCTGAAATAGGCTGTTAATCCAGTCAGTGCAGAAACTTATTCTGAATTTAATTCTGCAGCCTGAATAATAGCTACTGGAAGCTAAGGCACTGGACACCTGTGTGCCAGAGACCCGTACACCTGCAGGCAAGTGGACAGAGGAGTAGTAGGATATAAATGGCACTTCAAAGTGCACAAAAGCCTGACTTCAAGGTTATACCAAATCACACCCTCATGCCTCCATTTTTCATCTCTCTTGAGATGTTCTAAAGTAGATGTTTGCTTTTGCCTAAATATTGAGGAGTTTTACTGGATAAAATCAGAACAATTCTTGAACATTCACCTAACTCTATGTATTCAGTTAAATCAGGCACATCCCTCCTGCTGTTATTGATAAATGTACCGATGGTCATGCATATATGTAGAAAAAGCATGGACTCAGTTTTTTCCTTATCATAACAGCAATCATTTAATTGGAAGAAATTATGCCATAAAGGATGGGGTAAGTGTACCCTCTGGGGGATGACAGCTATGGAAAATTCCAATTACAACAACATACATGTGGTTTTTTTCATACACCAAATCCCTGGAACAAAGCAGACAAAAAAATCCCTTTTCTCATTAGTTTTCTACACAAGAAGGTATTTTTGTTATATGCTCGCAAACTGACTAGCAAGAGAAAGCCACTAAGTTGAAGTGTAGAGTGTGGTGAATGGAAACCTGGCCAACAGAATCTGCAGATGCTGAGAAGCTGGAGCACACCTGAAGACAGCTACATTTTGGTCAGATCTCCTTAGGACTCTGGATGCAACTTGCAGTTCCATGAGGCACACAGATTCTGCCAGCTGCAGTGGAGCTGCACATCCAGGGCTGGCAAGAGAGCCTGCAGGAGACTGAGCTGTCCCTTTGGCCAGCGGGGGAAGGCACGATCCAAGGTGTCCGTAATTTAGAACAACATACCTTGTAGTGTCTTCTCTGTCATCCTGCTCCCCAGTGAGAGACAGATGTGTTGTCTCTAATCATTCACTGATTGGTATTGGGAGATACATTAACATAATTGGCACATTTGTTCTAATTAACAGAAGGAACTTGCCACATGCCACCCAACATGAAGAGCAAGACCATCAGCAAGAGCAGAAAACCGCAATAACACCTCAGCTCTGGAGCTGCGGTCAGACCTGTGCTGCCACAGGGTGTTTACAGCAGCAGCACACACAGAGACTAAGCCAGGCCAGGCTTCTGTGCAGACTAAATGAACGCAGGGAACATAAATCACACAAGCGATTACACATGCAGGAAAACCTATTACAAAGCTAATTGCTGATACAAATTTAGCCATACCAAGTTACCAGCATTCCTAGGCACTTAAATCTCTTGGCACACTTGCATATGCGTGACTGTTTTAGAAACTGGTTGAGCAAAAACACATCTGCTCCGAAACAAACTCAAGGATGGAAAAGGAATATGATCTCATCTCGATGTTGCCCTTTCAATCATAAGAGTTGTTCCCTACACATCTGGCAATCTCAAGAGCCAAGTCGGCAGGATCTGAGTTCTGGATCCCAGTTGCTCATTGCCTTCTCTGCACCAACCTGCCCTAGAGTCATCTTCAGAGAGAGGAGCACCTGCTGAAAACAGCAAGTCTTCTTACCCTCCAGACACAGGCAAAGCCCACCAGTGCCATTTTCCACAAGAAACAAGATGCAAACATCCTGGAGCAACAAGAGACTTGCCTTGATGAAAGGCAATTTGTAATTCTAGAAGGCAAGAACATTGCTCCCGTGCCTTCCCCATGCCTGGTTGACACAGCAGGATTGCTTTCCATCTGGTTCCCCATCCACACTGGATTGTGGCTGGTGTTCTTTGCAGCTGTGCCAACTGGTCCCAGTGGCACAGCTCACCTTGCAGCAGTCCCTGCTGAGCTGGCATCACCTCCAACAGCCACAGGGAAATCTCAGCTCCCTGGCTTCACCTGGATTGTAACACACACACACATTCC